CATTTATTATTCTTTCCCTGCCTTACTTATTATTATTGAAAACTTTACGACAATTTTTAAAGGTAGAACAAATTACAAAAAAAAATAAACGGAAAAATTGATACCGAATTTATGCAGGAAAACTGAAAAATGTCAAGATATTTTTTTATAAAAAGCACTTATTTTCATAAAAATATAATTGTGTAAAGATCTGTAAGGAATCTCTCTCAAAGTGTCTCAACCTTTAAATGGTGCTGAGAAATGGAGGGATAAATCCGCGCCTGCGCATTAGACACGTGCCAACCATCAGCCCAGATCATCTGCGTTCCAATATTCACTACTAGTACTAAAAATCTATAATATATGTCACATAAACTATATGATTTTGACTGGTAGTGTATATCGGAACATGACGTTTCTTCCGTTTCTTAAAAGAAAAACAGTCTATCTATAATCTTGTATATGGAAGCCGTTAGCTTCTCATTGTCGGCGATCTTGTAGTTATAATTGTAATTCTATAAAAGTTTGACAGTTAAATTTATTAGAAATTACGAAAAAATGGCTTATCTAGATAATGTTTTTCAATCATATGCATTAACTGCTTCGAAGGATATGATACCGGATTGGCTTAATGCGGAACAGAGCACGGGGGTAAGTTATTGATATGATGATAATGCAGTTTTAGGTTATAATGACACTGCAAAGTCAAGATTTGACACAAATCTAATTAAAAAATGAAATCTTTTATGAGATTTATATGGCAGAACATCTTATTAAATAATTACCCGATCTGGCATTTCAAATATTGATATTAATTTTACTGTAAAATATATGCTTCAGTATAATATATGTTACATGATAATAAGTAATAATTTACACACACACACACACACACACACACACACACACGTACGTGCGCATGTTTAATTTTATTTAAAAAAATATCTAAGATCTTTAAATAACTATTTATTATTATGATATATCTCTTTTAAAATCTTAAAATTTTTTGAGATTTTTTTTCTATAATATTACGTTTATGAAATATACAATTGTTTCCATTAAAATGGAACACTATATAATTATTGATTTTATGCTTTTCTTATACATATATTATTATTTTGTTTCAAATTTGTTCAAAACTTTTAATTATATTTTTTTAAATTTAGAAATTATGATACATGATATATTATTAATTATTTGATTATCGTTTTACTTGATCTTAATTAATTATTATCTTAATTATTTGATAATCATTTTATTGTAACTAAAGATAAAAGTTATGAAAAAATTATCTATGTAATAAAGTTATTAATTTTGTTATTTTAATTATATTTTATATATTAAAGAATATCCTCAAGTTCATATGCTGTAAATACAATATATTGAATATAATTTGTATTCAATAAATTTGTTTTCTATAAGCATTTACTTGTATAAGTGTGCAAGAATTTATTTAAAAAAACTATACTTAGAAATATATTTATTAAAAATATTAAAAAAGGAGACAAAATATTTATTGACAATTATATCTAAAAGAAGAAAAATGATTCAAAGTATATAACTGAACAAAACAATAAGATTGATAGCTTTTGTAAGTAAAATACATATTTGTTGTTTATATTTACATATTCTTTTATCATACAAAGTTTGATTCAAAGATCTGCAAAGAAGATCATGGGTATATCACATGTCTCCTTATCTTAATTTATGAATTCATAATTAAACTCTATATCAAATGATGCAATGTTTGAAGTTACCTTACAATCTATTTATAGACATCAATTATGGCATGTGAGTTTAATGGTGGCGTCGTAATAGGTGCTGATTCTCGTGGTACAACAGGGTAAAGTTTAATTATGCAGTAGAGCTGTTTCATTTTGATTCTTTATATTAAAATATATATATTTTCTAGGGCATATGTTTCCAATCGTTTTGCTGATAAATTGACAAAAGTAACAGATTATATTTATTGCTGCCGTTCTGGTTCAGCAGCGGACACTCAAGCAATTGCTGATATTGTAGCTTATCATTTAAGCTTACATCAGTAAGATATTAGGAAATATGCACACACGCGTGTGCGCAGAAATTTATTGCACTGATTTATTGTACTGATTATTCATTGATAATAAAATATACTGTTTTTTCCAAGGATGGAACTTGGAAGACAACCCTTAGTGGAGACTGCTGCTAATGTATTTCGTGAAATATGCTATAATTATCGAGATTCCTTAATGGCTGGAATCCTGGTGGCAGGATGGGATAAGCAGAAAGGTGGTCAGGTCTATAGCATTCCTATTGGTGGCATGTGTGTCAGACAGCCAATCTCAATCGGTGGTTCTGGTTCAACATATGTATATGGTTATGTGGATGCACAATACAAGCCTGATATGTCGAAAGACGAGTGTCTCCAATTGGTAGAAAACAGTAAGTATTTGAAGAATTGTAAAAAGAAAATAAGATTCAGTAATATGCATTAATATAATGTGTACTTTTATAATGTGAATTAATATAATAACATTTTTTTTAGCACTCGCATTAGCTATGGCTCGTGATGGTAGCAGCGGTGGTGTGATACGAACTGGTGTAATCACAGAGAAAGGAATTGAAAGGAAAGTTATACTTGGTAATGAATTGCCACGCTTTTACGAAGGTTGAAAACCATGTCATTAATATCGTTATCGCAATATTTAATGTAAGGTATCTACAAAATTTAAAAATCATGTAGAGTACATGGCGCATTTATAAATTAAAATTAAAAAGAAAATTATAATACAATATTCTGTTGTTTCTGTTATTCTTCGATATTCATCTTAGGTATATGATAAGTATTTCCATTTTGATAACATGCCAAATATGAAAACTTAATTTTTTTTTTTTTTTTTTTTTATAATACATTTAGAAGTATTGATTATAGAATATTCTGAAATAAAATTTTAATTACAGGTTTTTTTTCTTTCTTTTATTAAGGGATTTGGTTTTATATACGAAAATTTGAAATCGCATTTTTCACTTTAATTATATCTGTCTTCAATTAAATATATATCTTATCACTACAAAATTTAGGTCGCATTATCCACTTACGGAACTTCTAACTGTGAGGTATACTTGTCAGTCGTTCGTACTCCATGCTTTATACCCATTGTCAGTTTAATTAGAAGATTGTCGCAATGACACTATCGTGATGCGCGTAATCGCGACGCGACAGTCCGGACTCTCTCAGATCTTGCCATAGTTCGCATGATTCTTATACCAAGGTAGTCATCTTTTGGCTTTCGACATATTCATTAGTCTTGCGAGTGATATATGCTACTCGATCTTGTTAGCCGATTAACGACGATTAATCTAATAAGAAAACGATTTTTATAGCCTTCGAACTCTTAACAAAACGCGTGTGTTTATATTTTTAAAGCAATAAATTATTGTTGATTTACTATATACATCCGTGAAAAGATTCCTAATTTCTTGCAATACATATAATAATTTATATTATCAGGTTAAGATCAGTGATTACAGTCTCTTTTTATTTATGTGCTAAAATTAAAATTTAACTCATTAAAAACCTGTCAAATTGAATATTTATTTGCCGGAAAATAAATATGTTGTCCTTTAGATATATTTTAATATTACGATGTAATATAATCCAAAAACTATATTTCTTGAAAAAAAAGATGTTTTATCTTAGCAAAGTATTCATAAAAATTATACAAGAACTGTGTATTTTTATAACTTACAGAGAATTATATAGCATGTTGAGCAAAAATCTTTTAATATTTTTTTATGAGTTGTTTCTGAATTAGTCAAAATTTAGTTTTCAAGATATCATGCCATTCAGATGAATAATATTAAAAATTATTCAGATAGTATTTTGAATATCGATCTATATAATCGATTTTATAAAAATTTATCTTCAATTCTGTTCTGTGCGCGCGCGCACGCATACACACACACACACACACACACACACACACACACACACACACACACACACACACACACACACACACACACGTAGT